CGGATAGGCGCACGGCGCGGCGGTTTCAGAACGAGGTCCCGACTCTAGTAGGAATCCGCCAACCCCTTGGAATCATTAGCGTGTGAGATGTTGTCACCACTCCCCCCCACCCCCCCGCCGGAAACACCAGGGGGGGGACATCGCTCCAGAAATTCTGTGGCTTGCTTGAGGAACGTGCCACGAAGTTGCAATGAACAAAGGCCAACCCCCATACCCCAGGCCTTCCGATTCATGGAACATTGAGGCGTGCTAGTATGCCAAGTGCTGTCTAGTAAAGTTTGTGCAATATTTCTAACAGCCCCCCTCCCGGGCCACACCCCGTCGCGCGCATCGCCCCCTCTTCCCGAGGGTCTGTCGACGCCCCGACATGGTCGTCGTCGTCGTCCTCCTCCTCCTCCTGCTCCTCCTCCTGCTCCTGCTCCCCTTCATGATCGTCATCCTCACCCTGCCATCCCTCCGACCGATGATGCACCGGCCGGTACACCTGCTACCCATAATCCTCCTAAACCTCCTTTGGGGTCGGCGGCAGAGGCGGCAGCCTTTAGATATGCTTACGCAAGTAGGTCTTCCCCCTTTTCAATGCTATATAGATTGCCAGAGCACTCTGGATTCGCTGGCTCGGGGCCCTGGGTTCGCGGAGGGCCCCGGAGCCCCCCGTGGTCATCTGTGGGGCCCCGTGTGGAGTTCGTTTACTCTCAGCGATTTCGAGTGTTACAAGACGCTCGGCCACGCCACTGCGGCCGACGTCGAGGCTGGCAGAAGCAGTGTTTGGGAAAGACGGGCCAATGGGCACGCAGATAAGTTTGCTAAACTAGGAGCTGAGTGTCACGGGGTCAGCGACGATGAGGCCAGCCTGTACAGAGGCCTAAGGTGCCTCGCCCGCGAGGCCTGCAGGTGGGCTGGATCGGTCGAGGTGCTGATGTCCAATGGGCCCCGTGACTCAACGGGCCTTGTGCCCAGGTCGACAGGCAGCGATGGCCAGTGGCAGCACTCACAAGACGATGATGCCCACGGCCAGGCCCTGGCCGACGATCAAAGGGAGGTGGGAGGTTCTTCTGACTTGGGGGAGGAGTGGCGGTCATTCTCTCGGCAAGTTTTTCGGGCCAACGGTCATGCGTTTTTGGCCAGCCCTGTCTTGGAACCTCCTGGAAACCCCAGGGGTAGGATCCAGTTTTGTTGTCGGTGTGGATCGTTTTTCTCTGGGGCTCCCAATGTAGGAGCTAAAGGCCTGTGCAGGCCCAAATCGACGACGGGCGGAATTAATGACCAGCTGAGAAGGATTCGGCAGGGCAAGTTTCCCTCGTACAAGAAGGACCTGAAGAATTTAACTCTGGGGGCTCACGTGAGCCTTAGCCTCGCCGAGCGGAGGGTCTTGGCTCAGTCGCTGGAAGAGGATGGCCAGGCCCCCCAGGGAGTTTCAGGTCCCGCAACTGTCGGCTCCGCGGTGGGCTTCGCCCCGCGAGAGCAGGTTTTGGATTCGTTCGGCCTTGCTGAGTCGGATTTACCCTGGGTCAAGGACCTAGGCGCCGCCTCCCTCCGAGCCTCGAACTGCGGTTTCGAGTCAGACTCGGAGGCTTCCGATTTCGGCTGAACGTGGAGGTGATCTGGCTTCAGGCCCGTCCCCAACAAAAACCTCCTCCTCATGCTCTCACCTCAAGCACAAGCCTTCCCCGTGTCTGTCTCGCAAAGGAGAGTGGTGCGTTTGCTGTCTCCGTGCCCCTCTGCCGAGTGGCATCGAGCCTCAACCCGGAGCCGAGCTTTGCACCAGCCTGCAAAGGGAGGGGTGATTGGAGACGAGCCTCCGCTGGCGACCGTGGGGGCGCACGAGCGCTGCAGGAGGAGCGGAGGTCGGGGCATCCACGGTGCGGCGCTTCTGCGGCTGGCGGCGGGGAGAACTGGGCCGGGACCGGCAGGGACAGCGAGCGAGCAGAGTCGGCACGACCTCCTTCCCCCTCCTGCTCCTGCTCCCCCTCCCCCCCACCCTAGGGTTAAGTCGGGCGTGTCCCCCCACAGGGGGGTTTTCGACGGAAAATGAACCATACTCAAACAATACCCCCAAATGGTCAAAAGATACTCAAAACATAGTCCCCATACTATTTTTTAACTATTTTTAAAACTCCCCCTGTAGAGGGACAGGCCCGTCTCAACCCTAGGGCCCGCGTCGGTACGGATGGCCCCCTCCTCCCAGATGAGTAGCTGAGTCGATCTCGAGCGGGCGATTGCTCTCGATTCGTTCTGCTGCCGTGCTTCTTTCCACGTACGATCTCACGCCCGACGCCTGGTCGCTGCGCGCCCCGGGGGGGGAACGACAGGGGGGGACCAACTCATGGTCGGAATCATCGAACTGGAATCGGCAGTCGTCAGCGATACATCGGCGAAAAAGTCCCCGCTATCGGGCCCCTATCGGGGATGAACGGGCAATGGGGGATCGATGCGCTCCCCCTGGAGCCAATTCATTCCCCTCATCATTGCCCCTGAGAGGAGAAGGTTTCGAGTCATAACTCGAGCCTCTGGCGGCCTCTGGACGATTCCGGCACCCATGGAACGCTCTCGGCGAAGCGCAGCCGCCGGAAGGCATCCCGAGGCTGGAAAGCCGCCGAGAACCCACGACAACGCCCGAAACACTCGAACCTCGAAACACTCAAACCTATATCCCCCCTATCTCGGAGGAGGTCTCACATCCGCTCAAAATCGGTCCCCAGACCCCTCCCAAGGTCCATCCTGGCAAGCGTTCTGATGCGGATCCGGCCATGGCGACGAGAAGCCTCCAGAAGGCCCGAAAAATACAAAAACAATGACAAACTAACAACAAAAAGCGGCAGGGATGGCCGCCGTTTTCTCGACAGGCCCTCCTCCGACGATCGTTGCCGCTGACCTGACCTGACCTGACCCCCCCCCCCCCAACCGCGGTTCAGGCCTGCGAGTGATGCGCGGCGTCCCCGGCTGGTCCGTGCCGCTCGGCGAGGACATGCGCTCCGAATCCTCGCTCCGCGGGGTCCCGCAGCCAGATTCGCCGCCTCTGCCCAGCGGCACCTTCGACAGCCGCGGCAGGTTCTTCTGGTCCTCGAGGATGATGGAGCTCGGGTGAAGCGTCCTCGGGGTCAGGAGTCAACTTCTCTGAGAAGTCTTCGTAAGAACGACCAAAGGCCAATGAGTCCGACTATACGGGCCATGAAAGCGGATTACGCCCAGGACTCAACCGGATTGCGGGTGAGTAAGCGGGAATGAACGGGGTGACGCCTGATTTGGCAGGAGTTCGCCCTCGGATATACCAGCGACGATGTTGAATGAACCTCCTAGGAGTTGCAACCAAGGCAGGGGGCCGCCAGCGTGGGGGGCAACGAGAAGTCGGTCGGAGAAGCCCGCGCAGAGCAGAAGGCAGCCGCGGCTGAACGGGCCACAAGAGGCGAAGGCGTTGGAGGCGGAACAAGACCTGCTCCATTCGCAACCAATCGAGACCGATCACGATGCCCTGGACGACGGAGGAGGCAGCAGCAGACCAGCCATGCCAAGATGGCCCCCAAGAGCACACGGGGGACCATCTGCGCGAAGAGGGGCGGAGGAGACGAACGACTACAACGACGACGAGAGGGTGGGACGAGGCAGGGGGAGCGAGGAGGAGGGAGCGACCAGGGGCGGGCGAGGAGAAGCGGCAGAAGGGCATCGTGTCTTCGCTCAGCACTCCCAGTGCGGCGATGCCCCCAAGGCTCAGCGCCCAAGCGGGGCGCCCGGCCCCGGCGCCACAGGATGCCAATGGCAGGCCCCAGCCGCGGGCGGAGGGGATCGCGGACGCACGGCGTCAAGGATGGTGATGTGGGCTCGTGACGAAGGGCCACGATGGGGTCATTCTTCGTGAAGTTCCGAGGAGGTTGCGGGAAAGTTCCACGTGCTCCCCAGAATGTCGAGAATGATTCGGCCGCGGCGACGAGGGCTCCGCCGGACGGCATTTCTTGTTCCCCTGGAATTCTGGGGGGAGTCCGTCGTGTTGTGGAGCCATGTTCTCCTAGACTCCAGGAGCGCGCGGCGCCACAAGACGACGAGCGCCAGCACGCCGGGCTCGCCGCCAAGTGGCGGGCGGCGTCGGCTGCCAGACAGGGAGCACCCGAGGCCTCCGTTCCCTCGCTATCACGCGTTCCTCGCTCAGAACAATCGCTGAACGCATCATAGCGAGGTAGACAGCAACACGCCCGTCGCGTTCTGCTCTGGCTGAAAGAGCACGCGAGAGAGAGAGAGACAGAAGAAATGCAAAACGTGTAAACTGTGAGGCTTTTCGTGTTGGTGACGCGCAGTGCTTACAACCAGACTGATGGCACCACGACCACGACGCCCAAGAAGCTACCAAAGAAGAGGGCCCCGTGACGGACCGAGAGGGCCCTGGATGCTCCCGAGGCGACCGAACAAAAAGCCTCGCGAGGGCCCCAAGAGGCGCGCCTTCTGTCGAGCGCTCCTCCTCCTCCTCCTCCTCATCATCATCATCATCATCATCATCCTCCTCCTCCTTCTCCTCCTTCTCCTCCTTCTCCTCCTCCTCCTTCTCCTCTGCCCCGTCCCTCCTCCTCCCCTTCCTCTCCCGCCTCAAGCCTCAAACCTCGACGACGACGACGACGACGACGACGACGACGACGACACCTTCGGCGGGGGAGGGACGGAGGGCGGGGAGGGAAGGCAGGGAGGAGGAGGCACTGGGAGGGAGGGAGGGGGTGATGGAGGGAGTGAGGGAGGGAGGGGAGGGGGAGGAGGGAGGGACAGAGGGAGGAGGAGGGAGAGGAGGAGGAGGAGGAGGAGGGAGGAGGAGGAGGAGGAGGAGGAGGGAGGAGGAGGAGAGGAGGAGGAGGAGGAGGAAGGAGGGAGGGGGTGATGGAGGGAGGGAGGGAGGGAGGGAGGGAGGGAGGGAGGAGGAGGAGGAGGAGGAGGAGCAGCATGAGGAGGAGGAGGAGGACGGCGAAAGGCGAAGGACCAAGGACGACGACGACGACACCTCCGGCGGGGGAGGGGCGGTCCTCGACTCCGACACCACCTCGTCGGCGCACCGGCCGCACCACAGCGGGGCGTGGTCCCACAGCAAAGCCCGCGGGGGCTGCGGCGCATCGGGCTGTCGTCGTCGACGTCGCCGGCGCCGTCGCCGTCGCCGTCGCCCTCGCAGTCGAGGCCGAGGCCGCCGTCGTGAAGAGAGCCGAGCTGAACCAACGACAGGACAGGAAAGAGGAGGAGGAGGAGGACGACAAGCCCAGGCGAGGCCTGGACTCCGTCCCAACAAAATGCACGCGAGCCAAAAACATGCAGTCACGCGCGCGGTGCAGACGACTGGCTCAGCGCGCATCGCTGCGGGTGCTCGATGAGGCCAGCTCGTTGAACCCCAGCAGTCGACTCACGCAGCAAGTGTCGAACCCTCCGTCCACGGAATCCGACGTGTGTGTAGAACCCATGTGTGAGCCCTTTCGTATGTGCAGCCAGGCCCACGGCCAAGCCAGAAGAGTCCGAGCAGCCAGAAGAGCACGTGCGGCACTCGGGGACGTTGGGGTGGCAAGCCACAGCCGTCCAAGGCACAGGGGTCCAAGCCATAGCGATCCAAACAGCCAATACAAAAATATTAAAAATAATCGAAAATCTGTTTTTTTTTTTAAAAAAAAAAATATCTATATATATATTAATTTACACATATAACCAAAAATATATATATAACAACAAAAAAACAAAAAAAAAAAAAAAAAAAAAAAAAAAAAAAAAAAAAAAAAAAAAAAAAAAAAAAAAAAAAAAAAAAAAAAAAAAAAAAAAAAAAAAAAAAAAAAAAAAAAAAAAAAAAAAAAAAAAAAAAAAAAAAAAAAAAAAAAAAAAACGCGTGCAGCACCCGCAGCCCGCTCCATACAGCGCGGCTGTGGACATCCACACAGTTATGGCCACGGGCGATGCACAGAGCCAGTGAGGTGGGAAAACATGTCCAGGCAGGACCATCAGCAACGACCATGGAAGAAGTACGGGGCCAGAGGCGATGATAAGCCAAAGCGGTCCACAGGGGTCCGAGTCAAGAAACCGCGCCACCAAGGGCAGGCTCCACAATTACAGCAGATGAGCACAACGGCCGATGCATCAGCGGCCAGGAGGCACGCAGGACCAGGGAAGCAGGAAAGCATGGCCGTCCAGGAAGAGCCATAGCGGCCCACCACGCAACAGCGGCCACGGGCGATACAGAAAGCCACTGGGGCGGGAAGCCACAGCGATCCAAGACAATACCAAGCCATGGCGAGGTCGGGCCAGGAGGTCGGGGATGTCTGCGATCTGGCATCAGAAGCCGCGGCCGCTCCGAAGCGCTCTGTGGACATCTCTGAAAGCGCTCCGGAGCGCTTTGGAGCGATGTACTCCTGTCCTGGCCCCGCTCAACGATCGGCGTAAGCGGGGCCTCAGTGGTCCGCAGGAGAAGTACCAACCCTGCACCCAAGGCCGGCTCCCTGAAAACAGTCAGAATCCCACCAGCCCTTGAGGGCGTCGGTGGTCTAGGGTGTTTTGTCTTCCATCTGCCCCCCTTCCCTTCCAGGGAGGGGTTTAACTATGTCCCCCATTAATATACACCCCCTCCCCCACCCGGCCGGCAGCCAACCCGGTACCATGCCGACCCCATGCGGTGTCAAAAAACAATACAAAACGCAATCTGTCTCCACATTTGGAGCATGCGCGGTCAACCCGATGCGGCCCCCCCACACCATCCCTGTCAAAAACAATACAAAGTACACTTCGGGGCAAAGTCTTGAGTCATGTTCGTGAGGCCCACGAGCACTTTGTATTGTTTTTGACAGGGACGGCGGGAGCGTCAGCATATTCCCTGCTGCGCGCAGAACTACCATCCCTGACAAAACAAAAATACAAAATGCACCTCGCGGCTAAATCTGGATCATGCGCGGCAACCCCGCGATCACTGTCAAGTGGTTTTTCACAGAGACGGCGGGGGGGGGGGCGCGTGGCCTGCTGTGCGCAGGCCCACCAGACACGATAATGGGCATTGGTATTCGACATGTTTCCCGATGCGTTCTGTCACGTGCGCAGGCGCACCTGACGCACTCTGCACGTGCCCTGAACGTGGCGCACCTGGCGCGGCTGGAGTCTGCGGCACACCTGGCGCACTCGGAGCACGTGGCACATCTGGCGCACCAGGCGTGCCTGGCACGCTCGGGCCCCAGGGGTACCTGGCACGCGTAGCGCACCTCGCCCAAGCGTCGCGCGTCTGGGGTCGGCGTTGGTTCCCAGTAGCTGTCCATCCAATAACCGCTGAACATGCTCAGGCTCGGTTGTTACTTGGGAGGGCGGGTGGGAGTGAGCTAGACGGCTTGCGGGCGGGTGGGTAGCTTGACCCCTCCCCCTACCCCCTCCCCTGGGCCTAGAGGGGGTCCCCCCGAGGGGTTGGAGCGTCCAAGATGGCCCAAGATGGCTCCAAGAGCTCCTCGGAGAGCCCAAGATGAGCTCCAAGATGGCTCAAGATATCACAAGACGCCTCAAGATGGCTTCCGAGACACTCCAAGAGGCCCCAAAACCACTCTAAGACGGCTCCAAGTGGCCAAAGACCTCCCCAAGGAGGCCCCGAAGAGGCCAAATTCCTTCCTAAACCTAGGGAATATGAATGTGTGTTGATTTCTCGCCTTTTCGCTCCTGGTGGCCATCCGAGGCCTCAAGATGGCTCCAAGATGACCCAAAAGGAGCCCAGGAGAGACCCAAGAGAGCCCCAGGACGGCCCCAAGAGCGCCCAAGAGCGCTCCAAGAGAGCCCAAAAAGCGCCCAAAGAGGCGACTTGTGGGGCTCCCAAGCGGGGGCGCGAATTAGGGAATCCCTCTTTTTTGATCGACCTCCAAAAGTGCCCCTAAAGCTCCCAAGAGCGCCCCACGAGGGCCCCAAGAGGCACCCCGACAGCCCCAAGAGACGCCCAAGAGGCCTCCAAGAAGCTCCCAAGAGGCCCCCAAGAGGCCTCAAGAGGATCTCCGATGCACCCAGGACGCTCAAAAAAGCCCCTGGGCTCGCCAAGATGCTCCTTCTTCTCCTCCTCCTCCTCCTCCTCCTCCTCCTCCTCCTCCTCCTCCTCCTCCTCCTCCTCTCCTCCTCCTCCTCCTCCTCCTCCTCCTCCTCCTCCTCCTCCTCCTCCCTCCTCCTCTCCCTCCTCCTCCTCATCATCATCCATCATCATCATCATCATCATCATCATCATCATCATCATCATCATCATCATCATCATCATCATCATCATCATCATCATCATCATCATCATCATCATCATCATCATCATCATCATCTCATCATCATCATCATCATCATCATCATCATCATCATCATCATCATCATCGCATCATCATCATCATCATCATCATCAGCATCATCATCATCATCAGCATCATCATCATCATCATCATCCTCATCATTAGTGATCATCATCATCATCATCATCATCATCATCATCATCATCATCATCATCATCATCATCAGGAGGAGAAATACTGGGAGGAGGATGACGACCACGGCGGCTTTGGCAGCGTCGACGACCATCCACACTCTGTCACTGCCCACACTGACGCGCGGTGGGAGCAGATATGCGTGCCCGAACAGACAAAGCGTGGCACGTGCTAGTCACCGCCGAGAGAGTGCGGAGATAGAGAGAGCGAGAGGATGAGAGAAGAGCATCACGCAAGCGCACTGAGCTGACCCCGAACTCTGGCGTCGAGTTGGTCAGCACTGGCCCGAGGCACGGCACAGCAGAAGCTTCGATTTCAGCGACACCCGCCAGCCTCAGGTCGGGCCTGTCCCCTTACAGAAGGATTTTGGACGAAAAAGAAAACAGAACCAACAAAATAATCAAAAAGGATCAAATGAATACTCAACAAATGGTCCCCAGAGTATTTTTTGACCAGTTCTGACTATTCCTCCTGTGGAGGGACAGGCCCGACGCAACAGAAGACTTCATTTCAGCGACACCCCCCCCGGCCCCCTATGCCGCAGCTGGGCTCCCTGCTCCTGCCCCGGGCCCTGCAGCACGAAGGATCAGCTTTTACCCTACTGCACGTGCACATCACTTCTGGATCTCAGAGAGATTCCACACGCAGTCTCATCACTCCCTCGCCCAAAGCGCTAGTTTGTCAACGACCCCCCTCCGCACCACCACAGCCGCCTGCTCCGCGCTGCCGCACGAAGGACCAGCTTTTACCCTACTGCACGTGCACATCGCTTCTGGATCTCAGAGAGATTCCACACGCAGTCTCATCACTCCCTCGCCCAAGCGCTGGTTCAACGACCCCCCTCCGCACTGCCACAGCCGCCTGCTCCGCGCTGCAGCACGAGGGATCGGCTTTTACCCTACTGCACGTGCACATCACTTCTGGATCTCAGAGAGATTCCACACGCAGTCTCACCACTCCCTCGCCCAAGCGCTGGTTCAACGACCCCCCTCCGCACCACCACAGCCGCCTGCTCCGCGCTGCAGCACGAAGGATCAGCTTTTACCCTACTGCACGTGCACATCACTTCTGGATCTCAGAGAGATTCCACACGCAGTCTCATCACTCCCTCGCCCAAGCGCTGGTTCAACGACCCCCCTCCGCACTACCGCAGCCGCCTGCTCCGCGCTGCAGCACGAAGGATCAGCTTTTACCCTACTGCACGTGCACATCACTGGATCTCAGAGAGATTCCACACGCAGTCTCATCACTCCCTCGCCCAAGCGCTGGTTCAACGACCCCCCTCCGCACTGCCACAGCCGCCTGCTCCGCGCTGCAGCACGAAGGATCAGCTTTTACCCTACTGCACGTGCACATCACTTCTGGATCTCAGAGAGATTCCACACGCAGTCTCATCACTCCCTCGCCCAAGCGCTAGCTTGTCAACAACCGTCTGCCTTCAGCGATTCGGCTCTGGAGAATCGAGCCAAGGATGAAATCTGCGCGCCACCAAGCCAGGAGGCTATGACCCGAAAGGCTTGCAAATCGCCCACCACTGGAGAACTGGTGAGAATTTTACGGTTCTGCTCAGCGCCTGGAGCCTCGGCTCTGGTGCCAGCAAGCTCTCTCCTCACAGCCTCAAGATATCCCAGGCCTGCTGCCAGGCTAT